ATTTTAGAATATATTATCTCATATTATGGTTGTAAATAGATTAAATTTTAATATGAATTTTAAATATATTTTAAAATTTTAATAATTATTTGTGATGTTCAATATTTTTTAGGATTTTTAAGCTATCATCAAATATTTATCTACATTTTTTAATGTTGTTTTGTTTTTGTAGAAATAAAACCTCAAACTTTGCATTAGATATAGTTTTATCTCAAATAGATGTAAATAATAGAAATTATCATATTTCTTTTTATTTAAGATTTTTTTAGTAGTTGAGATTATTTATAATATCTTCAACAAAGAACTTCTTATTTTTATAGTCTTATTTCAAAAATATCATCAATATCTAAAATATTCTTTTAATCTAGTATTGAATTATACTAATCACAAGGATCTTTTATCTTTCAGATTAATACTTGTCTTAATTTTTTTTCTAATCATGTTGAAGCTTGTTTTTGTCCCAATTTGTATTTTATATTACATATTTTCTTAAAAAATATAATGATTATTAAATTCCTTATTTAGAATTTTTTATCTTATATAAAAAAAATACCATATATATATATATATATATATATATATATATATATATATAAACAAAAGCACCTACATCTTTGAGATATTGAGTCAAAAGTTCTATTTGATACTATTTTTTTTGATATATTTGTTTTAAGTAAATTAACTAATTTCTTATTTTAAATTCTAAAAATAATATATTTATAATAATTCTAAAATATATATTAAAGAATTTTTTTACTACTCTAAATGATATAATATATTTTTTATAATTAAAATATTATTATATTTATTTTAAGCATAAAATAAATTTCTACTAATAGGACATTTTTAATATTTAAAAATTTGGAGATTATTTCAAAAAAACAATTTGCAACCTCAAATATAAAATACTACTAAATTATTTGTTTAATCTTCTGATTCTTATTTTTAAACAAAGACTCCATATTATTTATTCTACAAACTTCTTTAACTTCTATCTATTTCAAAAAAATCTTAAATATTTTTTAATAGACTTCATAATAGTTTTTAAAATCTTAGGTTCTTAATTTTTTACTACTATAATATCAGATTTTCTAATTTTTATTTTATGTATTTTTTTTTATTAACTCTTATAATACAATAAGCATACCACATAATAAAACAAAACAAAATAAAAAATATTGCTATCTTCTATTGAAATAGATAATAACTAAAAATTAAAATAGAAGATTTCAAGGATTAAAGTTGTCTCAAAATAAATTAGGATATCTTACACAATAGAATGGAAAAGATATTAATGAAAGCTCTTAGGAGCTATCTAAAGATCTCACTAATCTATTAATATTTATTTTATATTTCTATAAATAACATCCATCAAAATCAAAGATCAATCATTAATAATAAAATGACATGAATCAAAGCAAAATAAATTTAAAGATTAGCTATCACAAATTTTATACAATATAAAACCAATAGACAAAAAATTTATTCCAAAAATTATTAAATAAAATTTTGTTAAATAAAGCACCAAGATTGTTTTAATCTTCATAAGATAGGAATAAAGATGATTTTTTTTTATAGAGTTTTTTCTTATTTTTTTTATTGAATAATTAGAAATATATAATATGTATAATATTATAATCTTAGAAGATATTTCAAATAATTAGTGATAATACCATAACTAAATATTGTACTTAATAGGATGCAAAATATATTATTATTTTAAAAATGTTTAAAGTATTAAGTGGTCTCTTTATTCTAATACAAAACATTGTTAATGGCTCAAAAGATTTATCAACTATCTTTGTATTAGAGATAAATCAAAATTTCTTACTAATGTAATTTAATGGACCTTAGTCTTTATCAAATTATAAAATAATTTACTTTAATTTTAATTTTTGTAAATTTTATTTTCTAGAAGAAGATGAAAGGAATAATATATCAAATTCTTATATTTCTTAAATAAATAGAAGTAAATTGATGTGTGTATAAACATGTTAAATAGATGATATATATTTTTTTAAACTATAAAGAATTGTTTTAGATATTGAATAAATATTTAGATTTGTATAGATATGTGAGATGGCTATTAAATTTATTTTTTTACAAGTTTTACACTTTATATTCAAAGTAAATTATAATTTGATGTATAGGCCACAAGCCTCATAGTTCTTAAGAAGCTTCTAAATAATGCATATAAAAACAAGAATAAGTGCATCATTATTTTTATCGATATATTTCTTATATTCTAGTATTTGTTTAAGAATATCTAATTCATATTTTATATTTATATTTTTATTTGGTATCTCACTTTTTCAATAATTCATGAATATATTGTCTTTAAGAATGTTGACTATATTTTTGTCTTTAATACCATTTGACAATTCTTATCTATTATTAACTTATAAAATGACTTAAAACTTAATTGATTCTTATAAATCTTCTTAATAAAAGTATACATAATGTCATAGGAACCTATAGTACTTAAATAAATAGAAATAAGTAGAAGTAGATACAAATAAATTAGATAAATGATACATTCTTTAAAATCATTCATTTTTTTATTGAATGTAGATTAAATTCATAAATTAGCCATGTAATAATAATAATTATTTCAAAAGATTTATTATTTTTATAAATTACTTACAAGTTAGAGACTTAACTTATAAATATTATTTCTTTCAAAAGAACTTTTATATGATATTTTTTTAAGCTTTTATAAATAAAGATAAAAATAAATTTTTCTATTTTATTTTATTTTACTTTTAAATATATTTGAGTCTTGATTCAAAGATCTTTAGTTTTTTTATTTAAAAATAAATATTCTAATACATTTTAAATTTGTAATCATATATTTTTTTATCTTCTTTCCTCTCTCTTAATTTTATATGTATATATTATTTTTCATAAGTATGTTTAAATTCATGTCTTTGACATTGATAGTTGTTTAAATTGTTAATCTTACACAAACATAGTTTTTTTTGTTACAAAATATTCTCCAGAAATACATGGATATATTTATAAATTAACTAATAAATTAATAGAAAAAATATTTATAAAATAAGCAACCACAACCTCAATATTAGCTCTATTTTTTAAAATAATATAAAAAAGATCATTGTTTTATATACATTTATAAAAATAAATTAATTCTAGTATTTTATGATTTTTATTCTTAAATTGTTGAAGATATGAATTTGCACAAAATTCCAAAAAGAAAATGTATTTAAATATAACTATAATGATAACTACAACATAACTACAACAAAAAATAACTACAACATAATTTTTTTCAAGTAATAAAAGCTATGGATTTTGAAACAAATACAAGAAAAAAAAAGGTTTAAAAATAAAATATGAAAATAAAAAATAATCTTAGTCTTATCTCAAAATATGCTTGCAATTGAAAATTATTTAATTTGATACTTTTTAACAACCATAAGACTTTTATAATAAAAAATAAGTTTTTAAACACTCATATGGTAGTTTTATAAATAAAACAATCTTTTATTATAATTTATATAGAATATTCTATAAATACACTTATACATGTAAGTTATGTTTATAAAGTCTATAAAAAAGTTTACATAAAAGAAATTACTTTACATATTGTTATTTACTTCTATTTACTTAAATTATATATATAATAATATAAATTAGTAATAATATAATATAATAATAAATTATAATAATATAATATAATGATAAATTATAATAATATAATATAATGATAAATTATAATAATATAATATAATGATAAATTATAATAATATAATATAATGATAAATTATAATAATATAATATAATGATAAATTATAGTAGTACAATATAATATAATTATATTATTATAATAATTAAAAAATCATTATTTCTTAAAACACTAACATCTTAAATAAAAATGTATTTGAATGCAGACACATTTTATTGCAAAGACTTCTATACAATTTTTATAGAATAAAAATATTAAAATTGATGATATTATTTTATATATAATTGATATGCAATTTTCAAAAGGAGTGAGACTGAAATCTAGAAGATTTTTTTTTTTTTTTTTTTTGATACAAAACAAAAAAATAACAAATAAAAAATATTAGATAAGACATATTAGATTCTCAATGAGTAGTTTTATTTGCTTTAGATTTTTTAATGAATTTATATATTTTCTTGATTGCATTAATCTATGATATTTTGGCTACTCAATATTAGTACAGAATTATAAAAAAATTGAAGTTTCAAATTCTTTTTATTAAAGTTTTTTGAAAGTTGTCTAAGCAATAGATTATTATTTTAAACATTAGAATTAAGTATTTTGTGATTATTACAAGGCTAGTAATAAATTACCTTTAGTATAATTGTAATCAAACAATGAGATTCATGCAATAACTTGCCTTCAAATAATGAAGGTAGAACTCACTTACTTAAAGCCAAGTTCAAATAACTTTCACATACATAGTGTGAGAATTTTTGGTCGTGGTTGTAAGAGTTAATTTCTAACAAGTGTTCTACAACAGTTACAAGTGAAAGATCTAACTTGAGTTAGAATTCATAACAAATCTGGTCAACATAATGTCCTTAAACAACTGTATTTCATGTTTTTATACATTTGTTTTATATTAGAACGAAGTCTTTTCAGCCGAAAAAAACGTTGAGCCAGGGCAAAGCGAAAGGCATGCAGTTGGAGAAACGCAACGGATCGGAAGTAAAAACAGAAAAAAGAAAAAGACACGGGGGATGATTGCCACCAGCCTGGCACCAACGCCCCAGGCCCTACTCAGCTTCTGGTACTTATCAGAACTCAAACCCCCCCCCCTTCGGCGCAGGGCACAGCTCCACCGGCACGTAAGCAGTTCCCGGTGGTAATAGGCTCTTCTTCCTCTTTCCCGGCACGGTTTTGGCGCGAACTAGGAGAACTCCGACCTGAGCGTGTGGCGCGGTGGCGGGCTCCGGTGGCGGTGTGGGAGAGAGAGAGAGCGGTGGGAGGAACTTCGAGCCAATCCACGCTTCGCTTGGAATCTCCCGCGCGGGAGTTCACAGCAGCCAGCGGGCTCCACTGCCAATTGGGTGCGATTGAAAACTCTCCCTTCTCGTCTTCCAGCAGTTTTCTTCTCCTTTTTCTCCTCCCCTTCCTCCAGCAACTCGGAACCCTAGATTGTTGCAGCTCCGTTGCGCGGAAGAGACGTTGCAGGGCTTTAGTTGCGTTGCGTTGAGGCGAGGCGACGTGGTGCAGGGAGGGTATGGTTCGGGTTTCGGTGGATTTGTGGCGCTGTGATTAATTCGGCTCTGGGGAGTTCTGCTCCTGCGACCATGGCGTCGGAGCAGCCGTTTAAAAAACGCCGGCGGTATGAGCAGTTGATGGCGGAGGGCGTCGCTGTGGCGTCGTCTTCAGCGGTGTTGTCTTCGCCGCTGCGTGAGAGTTCTCAAGTTGTGGCGGGTCCTGACGCTGCCGAAAATTTATCGGCATCTGTTGGGGTTGAGCAACCGAGTGATCGTGATGGTGGTAAGAACAACGCAGTTGTGAGCGTGGGGAAGCATCAGAGTGAGAAGGATGGGTTGGTGAGCGACAAGAGGATTGCAATTGCGCGGGAGCGTCAGAGTGCCAAGGTTAAAGAGGAGGCGGTGAGTGAGAAGAAAGATACGACTTTGCTGGAGGGTCAGGGTGTTAATCTCAAGGAGGAGGCAGTGATTGAGAGGAAAGACGCGGATTTGCGGGAGATTCGGGGTGTCACGGTTGTGGAGGAGGTGGTGAGAGGGATCATAGATGAGAATGTGGGGGAGCATCAGAGTGTCGATGAGGGGGTAATGAGTGAGGGGAAGGTTGAAGAACCTGCTGTTGTGAAAGTGGAATCGGCAGGGTTAGAGCGTCCACAGGACGTAGTACAGGGTAGTGGGGAGGATGAGAAGCTTCGTAAGAAGAGGAATAGAGAAGAGATTGGGAATTTTTACAAAGCGTATCGACGTGTTAGGATTTGTCTTACACAGCGGGACGACTCGGCAACCTTTGGTGTGAAACATGACCTTGAGGCAGCCTATCATTCAATGATTGAGCTTTCACAGGGTGAGGAATTCTATCCTGTAGGGTTTCCCGTTCTTCCTCTTCAGCGTTCCGCTTATGCCCTCCTGTGTTTGGATTGTAATGTGATGCATTTTCGTTTATAGGTTTTGTTAGTGGATTGATTCTCGCTGACCTCTTCAAATTTTGTGAAGCGACTTCCGGCAGCACAGCATTCTCTTTAATTGGGATAGCACCTTCTCTAGTAGGGTATATGTAGGGTTTAGTATGCGAATGATTTTAGCTCCTGTAATGTTGTATTTTAGGGTAGATAGTCCTTCATTGAAACAACTTGCTGAGGATATTACCGTTTAACTCCAAAAATAAGACTACATGATTACATGACTAGTGAATGTGCTTTAACCAGAGACCTACCTTCTTCAGCAACTAATCATTCCGCGTGAATTTGTGAATTTCATGCCTTCATGAATTGAGGTTGTGTAGTATTCATGCGCCTGGAATAGTATTCGTCTTTTCGACACTAGCGTTGATGTGGTCTGACTGCTACAAATCATTTGGCGTTGATTGGTCGCCAGTTGAATATAAATATTGAATACTTGGAATTACATGTTAGACTGTCTGAGGGTTAGTATACCAAATCCACCTTGCACCCAGAGAATGCACGCATTGTGTACCTCAATTCTTTGTCTTCGGCACCCCAATGCTCTGAGATTAATGGCCGCGTATGTGTAGGACTTTGTGTTCTAGTTTGCATTGTCCCCGGTCCTATATTACTGATACGAGTAACTTAACATTATTGCAGGGTGTGTGAGTGTGCGGCGGATTGCAGCTGAGTTAGTTCCAAGATATGTAATTTTCTGTCCCACTGCTCTGGAGGCAGCTGCCAGAATGACTATTCAGTTGTCGGATTGGAGCTCCAGTATTCTATTAAAAGGAGGAAAAGAAGGAGAAGGTTTAGCTGGGGAGACAGCAGAAGCCTGTTTTGACGGTTTAGTAAATATTGTTACCGCCGCTGTAAATTCAGCTTTTGAGCTTTCAAGTTTAAGTGCTATGTGTTCAGAGGTGTGTCGTAATATTTATCTGTATCTTCTTCGGCAGTTGGATGGACGTGACCTTCTGAATGTGTTCAATTCCAGTGGTAAAGACGAAGTTAAAAGCATTAAGCATAAAATCCCCCCAAATGGCGAGGATATTGATGCGATTGTGGATTCAATTAATCCTGAAAAGCTTGGTGCTTTGATTATATCTAGCACTGTTCAGGTCTTTACTTGCGACCCGCAGGGAGTGCTCACTGTCTGCTTTGAGTTATTACGAGCTACTGATGCCGACAGTCGCAAAGCTGGTCAACATTTTCTATCTCAAATCGTCAAATTTAGAAGTAACACCAAGGTTAGCAATGCGTCGCCAGTGGAGAAAGTTCAGAGCAGTGCTGTAGCTATTACCTCTGAAGTCGATGGTAGTAAACAATCGGAAGTCGAGGAAACAGTGGTGAATATCGATTTTAGCTCTTCAGGTCCCGATCGGGAAGAAGCAACTATTGCAGATTCAAGTCTTGTTGCCACAGTAAGTTTCAAAACTTTATTTTGTGTGAGTTTGAGACGAAGAAAATTTGCCAGCCCCTGGACTCTTACTTCTATTTATTAGTTTGTTTGAACTTTTCTAAGCATGGATGTGGGACTCCATCCGATCATGGAAGAAAACACCTTGGACAAGTTCTTCCTTTACTCTTTGAGCCTTTTTGCACATTTACTTGAATGGAGTACTTAGAGACGTAGAATGTCTTAGAGTTTTGGTTCTGTGAGACAATTCCAATTGAATCAGCCGTACCGGGGATCGCCTCTTTCTGATTGTTTGGGGCTGAAATTCAGATTTGCTTTAATATTCAGTCTGGGGATTTAAATTTGTGCTCAATTGCAGGTAATTCATTCAAAGCCTGAACTGGAAAGATGGCTTGTGTCTGCTGTGCGCCATTTTCGTAGAACTGCATCGAATTCAGTTATCGACGAAGCTCTCCCTGTGCTTTTGCCGCTCCTTAAGTCTCTTCACACTTTCACGCCCTTAGACCTTGAACTTGCTACACTTGAGGAATTGGACGTTGGCCCTTCAGCTGAAGATGAAGAGAAATCGCGAGGTCGACCAACATACCGCTTCCCTAGACCAGGTGAGCAGCCTGCCGTTTCCTGGAACGGTACCCAAGAATTTTCTAAGGAGCATTGGGATGATCTTGACAATCCTTCCCGTGCAAGTGAGTCTACAGAAAGTAACCGTTGGGGCTTCGGACCATCCAGTCAATCTGGATATATGCGAGGGCCGTTTTCCTCTGGCCCAACTGAGTGTTCAGCAATTCCTGCTACTTCTCCTGTTCCTGGAAAGGAAGAAATTTGGAGGAGGGGAAAGGACCACACTATTGTGTCTGCGTCTATGGAGTTGCTCGCTCAAACTGAGAAACCCAGTCCTATGTGGGATATAGAGGGCTCTCAACCAGTTCATCCTTGGGAGGGGCCCTCAGGAAGTTGGGGTTCCGGACGCCCAGCTTCAAGAGGTTATGAACATGTACCTCCGAAGGAATTTGGTAGTCATAAATCTCCACCTGGCGCTGATCCATGGCGTCTGCGAGAGCGAGACTCTGTCACTAACAAGGACGGTTCGCTACGGGAGCCCAATGATGTATCACCTTTCAGGAACTTAGAGGTTGATGTACCAACTACGTGGCCCTCTATGTCTTGGCATGCTGGAGGTAGAGGCCCACAAGATAAGCGGGAGCAGTCTTCAGGTAGTGATATGAATGGATGGAATCATGTGAGAGAATTTCCTAACGATGGCTCGAGAGTTGAGGCGAATACAGTTGGCTCCTCTCTATTACCTTCTCCTCAACAACCCTTAACACCGCGTGCTCAAAAATCCTCCCCAAATCAATGTGGTTGGTTCTCAGATGGAGATGCAGTTGCCATGGACGTGTATGCAGCTTCCACGCACCTTTTGGTTGGTCCAATCAATCCACCAATAAGTGAATCCGGCATCAAATTCCATGTTGAGAAGTGTGTTACCATCGATAGCTTTTTACGAAATCAAGATTATGCTGTTTTAGGATTTCGAACTGTCCGGGATGCAGCAAAAGCCCGTGAAGTTTTGCAGGCAAGCATTTGGAGTAAGGCTCTGCGGATTAAGTTCATTGAGAATTCCACTAAAACGAGTGACAGTGCAGCCAATATTGTTGCAGTTGGTCCCAGTTGTTTTGTTTGGGTTGGTGGCATCTCCAGCCAAAACGCCAAGGAGGATTTATTGAAGGACGTGCTTGGAGCCGGTTTGAAGCAACCACGCTCCGTCACTGCCCTGGTAAATGCAAGTGCAATATCCTTAGAGTTTGAATCATCAGAAGATGCTGCGGCTGTTCTGGGACATATCCGACAACGAAGAAGAGAGGGCGGTGGACCACTTTTGGCCAATTCGAAGGCAATTTCCGATCGAAGTATTATGGGCAGCATGGTTCAACCTGCTGACATACCATCTCCGGTTCCTAATCGCCATCTCTGGATTGGACGGGTTGATCCTTTGATTTGTGAAGAGGAGCTGCTGTCTGCCTTTAATCACTTTGGAGATATCACTGGTTGGAAGTTTCTGCGACAAAGCGGCTGTTGCTTCATAGATTTCAGGTGCATCATCTTCATCGTCATTAGATTATTAATAATATGCTGTGGGTCCTCAGCTTTTCTAAGATGCATAAATTATACTGGTACATTCCTGCGTAATGCTTACATATTTCTTGTAGAATATCCATGATTACTTGTGAGACGTGTTTTCATACGTGACGCTAGAATTTCAGGCTTCATCATGTAGTGGAAAGAGATCATCTGAAACACATTTGTAAACTTGTGAGTGTTTCAGGTCACCGGAATGTGCTGCCATGGCAAAAGCCACTCTCAACGGAACACGATTTGGTAACCAGTGCATCAATGTGGAATATAAAAATGCGCCAGCGCATAGAAATGCCTCGGGTCCACTGCTGAATTCTCCTCCTCATCCGCCAGCTTTGCTTCACACACCACCCTTCAATGGGTCCTCCAGTGGACGATCGCCTGCCAATCCTGCCCTGAATCAGGCTCTGGTCAACATTTCGAACAAATTGGTGAATTTTACAGGCGGAAGCATGGGTAATTTTCATGCAGGGAGGTCTAGGGGTGGTCGTGGAGGGGGTGGCCGCGAAGCAGCTGAAAGGGTGCCCACGAATACCTTATGGGTTGGGCTCCCTGATATGGTGGGTCCTAATTTCATGAACGAGGCAGAGTTGAAATCGGTCTTTAACCTTGCAGCCACTGGGGTTGGGGTTGTGACCAAAGTGCGAAGTGCACGGACAACTCGAGGACCATGTAGATTTGTTGAATTTGATCGAGTTGATGCTGCTGCAGTTGCATTACGAGCAGTTTCTGGTCGATTGGATCCAGCCATCCAAATAGAGTACAGGTTAACGTTTGCTTCCCATCCTGCATGTGTTTTGTACGATTGGTGTATCACTGTCGGACATCGAGCAATTTTTATAATGGCTTTTGTAATCCACTTACTGTTATATGCATGTTTTTAAGGTTCAAGCTTCAGCTCACATGAAAAACAGCTCATTGTTTGCGTTTGAATTGTCTCTCTCCTCTCCGTTCACAAGTTGATCAGATCTTTGAACTCACTTATATAAGGTTTGATACAGCAACTCCGCAATATCTCTGCAGCACACTGAACATCCTCATCCTCATGGGCATAACCATGGCCACGGAGGTCCAGGCCACCCACAAAGTCCATTTATGGACATCCGTCGACGAGGTTGGGATTATCAACATGAAAAGGAAAGGCCACTTGGTACCAGGCAGCGTGAATGGGACAAGGAGGGTGAGGAAAGAGATTCTCCTAATCGCATGGATTTTGATGATGGGAACATGGCGAGTGGGCAGGGTCACCCAGGTGTCCCTCCTGGATGGGGGAACATACGGGAGAAAGACTTAACAGAGGAGGAATATCATTTAGGATCAAGGTACATGTTTGAATTTTTGTATCAAATTAGCTAGTTGATCTTTTAAAGATACTTGAAAGGTTGGCTGTAGAGACTCGCCCGTGATGCTACTGTCAGTTTGACGTGGTGTGATTTAGTCTTTTATCGTATGCATTGATATGTATGCGCTTTCTCATTGCCAAAGTTTGATCAAGTTGCGGACGTGTGTTTGTTAAGTCTCTTAAAATTTGACTCCCCATGTGTGTGCTCTCTGTGTAGGGACCAACATCAAAGACTTGGGCGATTCGAAAGTTCAGTTGAGTATAGGGATGATTCTTCCAGCAGAATAGACATGACAACACCTCGACATGATTCTAGTGCAAATTTTCAGAATTCGAACAGTGCTACTGTAGATGTCGGTCCTGTGGTTGTGACTGAGAGCAGTTCAATGGTATCTCAAAGTAGCAGCCACAATGTACTTGGGCGGAAGCCGATAGAGCGGCAGTCATCTTCAAGCGCTAGCCTCATCCGGCCACCTCTACCCCCTCAGGGTGCCACATTAGCGCCACTTCCAATGTTGAAGCACCCCTCTCGTGCCCATCTTGAAAGGGTCCCATCAAATAATTCATGGTCGAACCCAATGGGAGGAGTTTCATCATCCCCATTGGGCCCGGTCTCTCCTGTGACCTCTACCCCTGTTCCCAAGTCAGTTTTGGCATCACCCTTGGGAACTCCACTTCAGTATAGAGGTCCAACAAAGTTGGACAAGAGTGGGGGCCGAAGTGGGCCTCCACTATTACAATCTCCGGTCACGCCCGCCTTGAGTGCGTTGTCTGTATCACAGCCTTTGGAGCACCTGAATCAACCTACAGAGCAGGTGAGTAGTCTTCCAGAGCAGCTGAGCTCTCCCTTGGAACCTGTGCCCAATGCCTTAGATAGAGTAGTCAGTACTTTTGAACGAGCAAATAATCATGTGGAGGTGGTGCATCCTCCATTGCCTCCACTACCACCTATCTCTCCACCCCCACCACCACCAAGTGAAACTCCTCCACCGCCTCCCTCCTCACCCCCTCCTCCTCCTCCTATGCCTCCACCACCTAGCTCCCCACCACCACCTCTACCTTCCACTCCGCATGGTTTTAGCGCTCATGCCTCAGTAGCTGGGCATGAGAGAAGAGAATCTGCTGCAGTACATGTGAGAGGAGCTCCTGCTGTGGAAGAGCATCAGTGGCGAGGTACCCTGTGCAAGAGCGGTATGCAGTATTGCCAGGTGACTGCCCATCGACAAAACTCAACATACTCCTCGTATGACCGGGCACCTTTTGAACCTACTGGGTGAGTTATGATATCATTGGTCCGTGGACTTGAAACATCTTAGACTCATTTAAAATAACTGTCGATGACGATGATGCATTTCACTCTTTAGTTTGGTTGAAATATTGGTTGTTTTAAAAAAAAGGACATATTTTTCCCTCTCATGACTATTAGACTAAATTTAACTGCTGAAATAGGTGGCCGGAAAAGCTTGATGTGACGAAACGTGCTGATTTCAAATCCGTGAAATCTACCTTTCAAAACACTCCCCCAACTCAGGTACAAAGACTTCACTTTTTGCAACTTGAGACCGGTTTTTTTGGTCTGATCGTGAGAACTATGACTTTTATTTTGTGAATGTTAACATCATTGGTGTGTTGGCGTTTAATTTGCAGCGGGAGGTCTGTCGACTTATTGCTGTGCCTGAACATCGGGATGGAGTATGTTTCTTTCACTTTGCACATCTGTAGCTTTTATCATATCTCTCTGTGAGTTGTTACGTTCAAAATTTGGGAGGCATTTTTCTCATAAATCATAGCTTAATGGTTGAGGGCATATATTAGTAATAATGGTTTTGAATACAAGTTGAATTTCTTGAATGTAGCCACGTCTTTCATGCAGAAACACACCGCCTCACCTTTTGGATATCTTGCTTGCAGTTCGAGCAATTTGTTACGTACTTGAAGCAAAGGGACCGTGCTGGAGTGGTGAAGCTTCCTGCAAGTGATCGGCTTTGGCAACGTATGCTTTACATTCTTCCGTGGTCAGCGGAGATATGCTCAATGCTAGAAATTCCTCAACTACCCAGCTTGTGTCTAATTGGAATTATCTTGCCTGCACCCCCTTCCATGGCTGGGTCATAACACGTGGTGAATGGCCTGATACATGTCTATTAACTTATCGCTGGATAAAATTCATTCAGCTGCGTTACTGCAAAATTTCTGGTCAATATACCAGTTGGGTCTACTGCATTGCTATCAAGATCCATTTGAGCTGTAATTGACAATGCTTGTTTGCAAAATTTGAAATTTTTTAGTGTCCAAAGAAACGTGGATGCTCAACATGACCCTGATGTCTCTGTATATACACTGTTGTTTAATCCTCCATTTTACACTAAGTTTTTGATTGTCTGGATTGACTGAATGATGTAGCTTGTTCCAAGTTTCAAGGAAGTACGGATACAAACATGATGGGCTACATTTAACGCCCACAACCATTTTTGGTACCATGTGAATAAGTTCAATTTTGATACCCAAGTGGAACATTATTTTGAGCACTGCACGCAACTGAAACATCAACGAGTAATTTTACACTGAATCGAATGGAAGCCTATCCGCAAACAATCCATGTAGAAACTATTCTGCTGTTACTAGAAAATATTTTACATTTTGTTTTAGAATTCGTGTTAAGGTTATCATTTATTTCATTTTATTTTTTAATTAAATTCTGTGGAATATATTTATTTATAATCTTGGCATATAACTATAAAACTGTATATTTATTAATATATTTTTATATTCTATAAATTTATGTAAGTATGGTCTAATTCTTTTGTAATTTTTATAAATAGATATAGGGTTGCACAAATAGAAAATGACATAAATTATCTTGATTTTTATAAAATACTTTATTTATCAAATATCTTGATAAATAACCAAAACATTTATGAAATAAGAAAAATCTAATGAAGTAATCAAATTATGCATGCCTAATTTAGAATTTAATATTTGACATTTTTTTTCTTTGATTCTTGTTATATCTATTTTAAATATATTTTATTAGAAATTTTAGTTTCATTTAATTCTGTAAGAAGCCTTGACATCTGAGCCAAAAAAGATTATTTTTTAGTGGCCAAAACTTTAGTTTGTACTAAATTGACCAAGTTTTGGTCATGGTATCTTATTTTGTACCACATAATTTTTTGTGTTGAAGAAGAACAAAAATATGACCATATTTAATATTGGTATGTATTAAAACTAGTTGAAGTGTTAAAGTTAAGTTAATATACCACATTCATAAATTGATATGTGTACACATTATCAAGATTACGTGTACATATCAAATTAGCACAGTATCTTTAAATTGATATGTGTACAAAGTATCTTATTGTGTGTTAAAATTATGTGATACCCAAAAATATATTGTGACCAAAACCTAATCAATTTAGTCAAAAACCTCATTCAACATATCAACTCCCTAAAATAATACACTCTTTGATAAAATCCAAACTTGTTACAACCATTGATGCACAAAATCTCCATTGCATTCAATGAACCCTTCATGTGTACAAAAATGACATTTGAGCACAGCGCACAGCAATGTCAGAGTGCATTTTGCAGTACAAAAATGGCATACATTTCTACATAAGGTAGTGGAGACAAACGGCGAGCAAGAGCAGCGTTACACGGGGCTCACTGGAGCAGCAGTGACGGAGGGAATGACACGCTTTGTGCGATGCCGTGAACAGCATCGCACAAAGCGGCAGCAGCAGGTTCAAAGCCGGAGACAGAGCGAGACAGAGAGAGATGTGAGGAAGTGACCCTTCGCAGTGACAACGGGGATGACGCCAGGACCACAATCCCACTACTGAGTATGTGCATGTGCATGGGGAAAGAAAGAAGGAAAAGAAAGCATGGACGAAAGTATGGAAGGAAGGGAAGACTTCTGGTTGTGCCCATGATTCGGAGAAAAAGCATCGACACTTGGGGACCGGACTGGAATTTGAGATAAGGACTACGACTGGATTGTCTCCGTTTTGGCAAGTCAGGACGCACGGCATCTGGTAGCAGCAAGGGAGCAGGAGCAGGGAGCAGTGCTCTGCTGTTCTCCAGATGCCGTCCCCTCATCACCTGTTGCGCTTTTCCATTCCCTTTTGGAGTTCCTATCTAAATTCCACCCACGATTACCGTTTTGCAAAATATCAGAGCATCTTCGGCCTTTTGTCGTGTTCCGCTGCACCCTCGAGTAACTATCCATTCCCTGCTGCAATATATATACTCGTGAACGTTCCTCTGTTTTACATCCTGCCTGTGTCGTGTATCTGCTGTGCGATTTATTCTGTCTCTTCGCTTTTCTCTCTGCGTGGTGTGTGAGCAGCGATCGTAGTCTCCATAGCAATGGCAGCAGTCATGGGTGTGCATGCTGTGGGAGCGGCCACTGGATTCGCCACGGGGGTCGAGATTAAGAAGAACCTTGCGTCGTCGGCGAACTCCCTGAGCGGCGTCAGGATGGTCGCGGCTTCTACTGCCCAAATGATGAAGCAGACTCGGGTGCCGGTCGTGAGCGCGTCCCTTTACTCCGATGCTAAGTATGACTTGAACAACTACAAGTTCGACCCCATTAAGGAGTCCATAGTTGCCCGGGAGATGACCCGGCGCTACATGACCGACATGATCACCCACGCTGATACTGATGTGGTGGTGGTGGGAGCTGGCTCTGCCGGCTTGTCGTGCGCGTACGAATTGTCGAAGAACCCCAACGTGAAGGTGGCGATCATCGAGCAGTCGGTGTCACCCGGCGGTGGTGCGTGGCTCGGAGGGCAATTGTTCTCGGCCATGGTTGTTCGCAAGCCAGCGCACCGGTTCTTGGACGAGATCGAGGTGCCGTATGAGGAGATGGAGAACTACGTGGTGATCAAGCATGCGGCTCTGTTTACGTCCACCATCATGAGCAAGCTGCTGGCTCGCCCGAATGTGAAGCTGTTCAATGCCGTCGCGGCGGAGGACTTGATCATCAGGGGCGACCGAGTGTCTGGAGTGGTGACGAACTGGGCCCTCGTGGCGCAGAACCACAACACACAGTCGTGCATGGACCCCAATGTCATGGAGGCGAAGGTTGTAGTTTCATCGTGCGGTCACGATGGTCCATTTGGCGCCACCGGAGTTAAGAGGCTGAGAAGCATTGGCATGATTGAGAGCGTGCCTGGGATGAAGTGTCTGGACATGAATGCCGCAGAGGACGCGATTGTTAAGCACACCCGGGAGATCGTGCCCGGCATGATTGTGACGGGAATGGAGGTCGCTGAGATTGATGGTTCACCGAGAATGGTACGCGTCCATCCTTAACCGAAATATGCTGCCCCTGGCAATTTTCAAGTGGTCTTACAGTAGCTTCTTCCCCTTAACATTTTTGGTTTTTAGTGAGGTCCACAGTGCCTGACTTGCATGAGTGCCACGATGCAGGGACCAACATTCGGAGCCATGATGATCTCCGGGCAGAAGGCCGCGCATTTGGCTTTGAAGGCGCTGGGACTTCCCAACGAGGTGGACGGAAACTACAAGCCCAACGTGCACCCCGAGCTTGTTCTCGCTTCTACTGATGATATGACTGCTTCTGCCTAGATTTGCTTGCAGGCTCGATAAAGTTCCTCATCCGGCTTATCTCTCACAGAGCAGAATCCAAGCCAAGCCGTCTTTGTAGATGTGTAAGTATCTAGGAGCAAAGTGACTTGATAACGATGTGTGAAAATGTAAACCGTGGCTTGGGTTTCGTGGTGTTGAGATGGGGTCATAGATCCTACGGTTGAGGTCATAGTGTACCGATCCAAAACAAAGAACACCACATCAAGTGTACCTCTCCTGTTTTCTCATAATGAAAGTTCCCATTTGGCGTTGTTGCTAATTTTCGGCACCGGGGGTGCTTGCTTCGAGCAGGCTGAGAGAGTCCCTTAAAACCTGATCAGGATAATACCTGCGAAGGGAGTGTGCCTAGTGGTTGTTTTTGCAGGGACCTCGCGCGTGAGATTCGCCTTTCGACGACGATCTCTGTCGAACCGCTATTCCTGCCGTGACACCATGGCGAATACTAATAACACCGGTCGTGTCGTTCGTTACTGTCTTTGTATTGTGTGACGATGATTTCGTGACTTCATTGATGCAGGATGAGAAACCGTGCGGTGGGGGGACTGGATCAAAAATTGCTGCCTCGCTCTGTCCGTAACATCTTACCGCAGGGATTCTTACCCAACAGGCTTCCTGTCTAATTGAATGGCATTTGTTTTCGTGGCTGTTTCCTTTTTATGGATGTGTAGAGAACTATGCGTACGATGTCCGCAAGCAAGGTATGCAACCGACGTGGAACTGCCTGATCACAATATTAGGCAATCGAATCCTACTTGTCATGATAGAATTTTCTAATGCTCAATTTGAGTTTCAGAATAGAAGATTGTGAAATGACAGTACGCCCGTGTTCATTGCCCGCCCACCAGACGCCTAAATCGGACCTTTAGGATATCGTTTCTTCACTCGGCAATTTCAGGGTAAAAGACAATTCTTCAAGCTAATGCTTACACTATGCATGCCGGCAGCAACAAGAAACCGTAGGTCACGCTTCTATTATTAGATTACTTTGTGACAGTACTGTGTGCGCCGAAGAATGTACTCAGTGAACAGCTCCTTCATTTCAGTGCTGGGAGGTTGAACAGGAAGTAGACACCCCTCGGATTATGAGTAGTGTGTTAATTTTGAAAAATGTGTACAATCTCTTTCATTGTGGCAGCAATAAGAACAAAGACTTTGTAAGATTACATTCTCATTTTATATCTTGCTGAAAAATGAAAAAAATTCGGCACTGATACATAACTAGTGTTATATCAAGCTCAATTCTGTCTTCACATACTAATTTGTGAACATAAACGCCAAAACGGAATATTTTACTTAATGGCAGATGAATGTGCAGTAACATCTGCAAAAAATACACCGTATACTGTACGCATACTGTGTTCCATAATGAACACATCAGAAGTATGAAGCTCTGTTATCAGAACATGTTTTTAATTTTTTTGAAAATGGCCATAAAATGCATCAACCAAATATTTATAATTCTTGCATTAAAAAAATTAATTCAATTCCTTGCGAATATAATATAAAATTTAACAATGCTTACAAATAAGTACCAACATAGACTTGGAATCTAAATGGTAGTAGAGTATTTTAGCAAGAAGTTTTTTTTTTTTTTTTTTTTTTTAATTTATAAAAATTTCTTTACAGCCAATACTTGTAGTTTTTATGGATTAGAGTTTAAGACAATTTTATTTCTTGTTAAGATTCTAAAGTATCAAAGTTATTTTTTTCTTTTTTAAAAAATAAAATAAAAATAATAAGATAGATTAAGATTATATATATATATATATATATATATATATATATATATATATATAACCTTAAAATGAATAGTTTGATTCAAAATTATGCTCAAAAAATTAATTCAGTTTTAAGATATATACATTATTGTGCAAAAACTATTATGACTAGAATGTAATAGAAATATAGATTATTGTGTGGTAATTATTTTTTTAGCAAAGACGGATCTTTGGCTTCTTATAGTTTAAGTGTCACCAATTTTGGTTTAAATATAATAAAATTTAATTCTAATTATAAAATTAGATTAATCTAATATTTAAACTCAATGTATATAACAATAAATGAATAAATAAAATAATCAATAACAATCATAAAAAAATAACTAAAAATATTTGTTTATATTAATAGGCACTAATAAAATTTGTGATATTCTTGGATACATAGCCAAACTTATTAAATTTTATTATAAATATTTTTCAAATAAAATCAAATTAATGCACAACAAATAGCATCTAATTTCTTTTATATTTAGGTGGTATAAAAAATCAAATGAATAAATTATTCTTTTCCAACAAGATTGTATCAATTAAAAATAATGATGGGAAATAAATAAATTCAAAGAAGCAATTAAATTTAAATTTAATTATTATTATTTGTCTAATAAATAATTTGTACATCTATTTGTACATCTATTGAAGTTTACCATAAATTCATATAATCATTTATATTTTGTATTAAGAAAGTAAGTTGGTCCAAATACTATATTAAATATAATATAACAAACAATATAACAACTTCATTTATATTTATTACGCATTCAAGTCCAACAATGCACCAGCCATGTCAGGTGCAACTGCAGTTAGTGCCTTAGATGGAGAAGGCATGGTAGACATACCAATCTCAGATGCTGGGTTGGGCCTTGCTTTGCACCTTTTCTACCACCCCAAGCTATTAGCGCTCTGGTCGTGTCCAGACGCTTCACCTGTGGGTGCACGAGGTAAGACTTACCATTAAATATTTGAGGTCCTCAATATTTCATTGATCTGTTTGTTGAGTCAGATAATATTACCATTCGAATAGAGCAGTTAACCCTGGTGCAGAAAATCGGTTTAGTAAATGTTTTGTCCAATCTGACAGTTGATCTGAATGTAAGTTTTGATTGGATGATGAAGTTGGTTTGGTTCTCTGTGCTTTGAACTGAAATTTGGATCTCCAGGATTACACTAGAGACCAGCAAAAGTCTTGGAACATGTCCATGTTGCGGCAACAATTTATCCTACCGAAACAATTTGAGCTATGCCAGCCTAGTCAAGTATTGAACCTTATGGTTTATTCCCACCATTGCTGATGTATAATATCCGGTGCGGCACATAATCGGTTTTTGTGACTTATTTAAAAATCGATAGTCAGGTTCCTTAAACTCATAGTTTTTTTCCACTTCATCTATCAAAAGCTATCATGGTACCAGCGTTAGAATATCGATTACCTGTAGTGTAAGCCTTCAACTATGTTGGATTCAATACTTTCAATGACTTCAGTATGATGGTTTATCAGAGGAGGAAATTAAGTAGTTACCAATAACACCACTTGCAACTTTCATCAATGGACTGAGCAGGACTGTATTCGTGATCCATTGCAGGTGGCAAGAGTGGTGCAACCAAACGCTGCGAGGGCAGGAATTTTCGCAGAGATTCTTCTTGTTAATGGTAGACTAAAAATTCTTCTAAATTTTTGCAGCGAGAAGTCGAACTGGGAGAAGGTCCGAGCTTAGTGAGTGCTGGTCTTACTGAAAACATAAGCAGTCCAGAGGTGCAAGATACCCGGCGAGTTGTGCTGCAGACAATGAAAGAAGTGTACTGTCTGACATCTCACCTGTCTATGTTGGATATTTGATTATCCCAATGTGATTTCGTGTGCAAGGCTCTTTGTCTGTGGTGACATAATTGCGCCAACCTGTTTTACTCTTTGTTAAATACTGATTCTCCAATGTTTCAAGGTGATACGTGTATTACAATTAAATGGACAGCTGCGCGATAAATTATATTCTTCTGCGATTAAATTCAGCCACTGCGATGATGTGCTTCAAGGCTTCGTACAGTAAGGGAAATCATTGTCTTCGTACAATATCTACAACTAAGAACATAATGTTGTAACTTTTTACAATTTTTTTGCAAATCTCAAGTAGCTTACCGTGTGCCTTTCATCATCGAATGTCACGGGTCAACTTTGAGAAGACGCCGGAGGCAAGTGAAAAGGTGCATACACAGGTTAGCTGCTGTCGACGAAATCCTCCTGGATTTCATGCTGCTGCATAGGGTAGTGTTTTCGAAACAGGGATGTTGCAATGGTGTTTCCGATCTCCTTCCTTGTCTTGTCGGGATGAACGACAGCCCTCAAGCTGCTCCACCCCTAGAATTCTTCGGAATGAAGAGCAGTTCATTCAAAGATCTGCGGAATAAATTATATATTAAAAGTAAACAATTGTAAAACTTTGGGGGTCCGCATGACACGGAAGGCTCCCCCATCATGATAAAATATTTTAAGATGTCATCAGGTGTCTAGACTAGCTGAAGAGTGGCACATGTGTCAGCCACAACTGTGCACACGTAGCGAATTGTTTAGAATCAACGGGGCCCACAATTTGAAAAGCAACTGACTGCCCCGGGTGGTACAATAGACAGAGGCACAACTGGCTGATCTCTGCGCTTCCGCGATTTGTTTTGCTCTAATGTCTGGAGCTCGTGCGATGTCAAAGCTGGGATTGTCAAACATGACGGGTTGCCTACCAACGGACTCCAAGCTATTGTCGTGGTAGTTTGTTGTGGAAGTTGCTTGGGTCCGGAATGAAGCAGCCTCAATTCGTCGTTTGCCTCCCGGGGTTACTGGCACACTCTCTGGGAGTAGCGCTGTACTTTCTGGTCAATCCGAAGAACACCTGCACTGTTTGTGGAGCGTGTCTTTTGTTGTTTTAGGGTGAGGCCTGCAGGAGGAGAAAGTGTGTTCGGTGTGTTCCGGAGCAGGAGATGTTGTGGGGTGGAAGTATTGAGAGTTGATGAAATGGGTTTAGGGATTGCGGGAGTAGATGCGAGTCTTTCTTGCGCGGGTGGGGAAGATTTACAAGGTGCAAAGGAAATGAACAGATGTGCGATTGGTTTGAACAAATGTTTCAAGATTTCATTGTGGGGAGAAGTAGGGCTGGGGTCGATTTGGAGGAGCTAATGGTAATCAGGGAGAAGAACAGGGCGTGAAGGAGTTTGATAAGGACATGATGAGTGAAAATGACGATGGCATTTTTCACAAAGAAGGGTCTGTTCGTGAATTTTGTAGCTATGTGCCTATACGTGGGGATGGGGAGATTGTCCGGCACTCTTTCCTTAGTGTCTGGCCTGGCTTCTTCACCTATCTGGGCACCATCGGGGCTCATGGTAGCTTTTGTATTGATATATGGGTATAATGTGTGGTTGGGCGGGTTTTTGGGTAGTGTAACAATCAATTTCTGGGTCTTTCATAACCATGTGCCCCAGCAGTACCTACCTTATATTTTTTCGGCTGCTGTTTTTTCAAGCCTTGAAGCTTTGATTTGTGGGTGGTTGCTGAACCATCCATTGAAATGGAAGGAAGGTCGTGTTCTTTTGCCTCCCCAGGTACCTAGTCGTGGACTCTGCTACCTTTTCGTGGATTGCATGCTTGTGTAATGTTTTTTCATATTAAATTTGAGATTTAGGTATCTTTCAAAAGGAGTCGTTATTTGTGGCTTTTGTCTATCCTGTCTGATAAGAATTCATCTCTTGTACAGGAGAACAGAAAGGGGGCACTCACAGTCGACACTCTTCACGATGCTATGTGGCTTTTCATTGTGGTGCCATTCGTCAGTTTCATTTGTGGATCCTGCAATGCATTTTCCCTCTGTATCTTCGACCTTGTGCACTGGGACAATTTGTTGTTGGTTTGGCCTACGTGGGTACTGGGAGACCTGTCTGCTATTCTCTGTGTAGCTCCATGCATTCTTCACCTGTGGAATATCTTGCATCCTGACATGTTGCCAATCTGGGGTCAACCAAGGAAATGTACGAATCGCGTGGAGTTGTCTCACGTGGATGAAGGGTCTCAACGCAAAACTGAATCTGAACCTGGGTTGTTTCCACGACGAGGGGTAGAAAGACAGACCATACTCCGTAGTCTGAACAGTGGGGTAACTTTGTTGCCTTGGAATGGCTCCGAAAAATTTCAGGATAGTTCCGTCAACGGCAGCAGGACCGAAAATCTGAATTATGAGTTCTTTTCTGATATCAACTTCCTTGACAGAGAGACTGATGATACTGATATGGAAAATGCGATACATAATCGTAGGCCTGCATCAGTGAAAAGACATGTCCATCTTAGTGAAAGATTAGATAATTGGAAAAGCCGTTGGAATGAATGGGTCTTGGAAAGAAGACGGAAATCGTGCGCAGGAGGAGAGAGATCAGGTTCCCTTCTAATGGTGGAAGAAAGTAGTTTTTCCAACACAGGAAGTGGAGTCATCTTTGATGGGAGAGTCTTGCCCAGGTGTTATGACAACCTGAAATCTTGTGTTATCCCACTTCTTTGTAGAATTTAAATACTGTCGAAGGCTAGAGGTTGGATGGGATTTTTACTTGTTGAAAAAATATTACTTAGAAGTGTAGCTTTAATCAGCCAACATTTTTCCTGTTTTCCACTTTACTGGTGATTGTGTCAGTTCCAATTAGCTCCCTAATTGCCCAAGACTGGATACAATTTTGGGAAGGTCTCTAACAACGTTTCTTTGGCAGGTCTCAGCAATTTTCAGATCTGAATGCTGGACTTCCTCTTAATCACAAGGCTCCTCAAGTGTGTTCCTTTAAAAGATTTGTTCTAAAACTGGCAGAGTGCATAGCTCTTTATGTGGTTCTTATTGTTCTCTCGTTGGTTATATTTTTTAATCTGGTACATTCTTTGACCTTGTACATGGTGTGCTTGAGCTAAGCTTTGATTGTTACTCGGAGTCGTATTAATGGTTTGTAGGGTTTCCTAGCTTTAGGAAAGGCATTTACTTTGTTGCACTAACTTTTGGTATTCTGAAGCTAGATCGATACAAGACTCTACACATTGCGAACACCGTTTCGTACAGTAGCTCATTTATCTTCATAGAATGAATGATGAATTGGCGTTCGATTACGTCAATTCTTCTGTGTGCTTCAATGACATCCTTGATACGATTTGTATGATACCACAGGGAGTTCGCGACACCGACGCTGTGCAAAGACTTTCTTACTTGGTGTTTCCAGTCGTCATCTGGTCTTCCTTTCGATTTAATCGGATTGGGGTTCCTCTTGCTGTCCTCGTGGTTGCCATCATTGCCAGCGCAGGCACAGCTGACCATAAAGGACCACTATATCGTCAAAATAACAATCATTCTCTTTTACAGGTAATTAGATTTTGTTACATACTGCTTCGAGAAAACGAAACATATATTCTCCACCTCATGCAAATCCAACATGATTTAGCACGATATGCTAATGTACTCAACCTCATGCAACAGGTGCAAATGTTTGTCTGCGTTCTGGCTGTGGTGGCCATCACTCTAGCTGCAATTGTACACGACCGGAAAGCAATGGAATCACGGCTCAACGAAATGAACAGCACTCTCGAATTACAGGTACTGTGCTTACATATTATTAATAAGTTTGATATTGTCAACTTAACAATGTTCTTGTTATTAGCAGCAAAAGCATAAAGAGGATTCTTTCAGTGTACTAAGTTTATGGCTATCTCTATCGTTCGCTTCATAATGTGCATCACCTTTATTTTTAATAATTGGTCAAAGGTGCGTGCAAGAACTTTGGAATTGGAACGGGCCAACAGATCGTTACAAGTATCCCAGGCTGCTGCCGAGGAGGCTAGTCGAGCCAAATCTGAGTTTCTCGCAAATATGAGTCATGAAATCAGGTCTATCATCTTGTAACCATAGTTTAAAGATCGCGTGTACTTAGTATAAAGCAAATGTGTGTTAGCGTTTGCAGGATGTCGCAGATCCTTATTCTGTCGAAGTATATACAATGGGTGGCTAAGTTGCATTGCTGTAGTCTGACTCTGTTTTTTTCGCTCTCAGGACTCCTATACATGGAATAATTGGAATGGCCTCACTGGCCTTGGAGACTGATCTGACAGATGAGCAGCGTGAGCATTTAGAGACAGTAGCACAATCTGCTGATTGTTTGCTTCATATTGTCAATGCAATTTTGGACCTTGCAAAGATCGAAGCTGGCCGTGTAGAGCTCGAGCGCGTTCAATTTAGTGTTTTTGACACTGTAGCATCTACTATTAAAATGCTCCAGGTGAAGTCTGGATCCCAACCTTAGGTTCATCTTGATTATGTGACGATGGATTAAATCTGAAATCAGTTTATTATTGTGGTGAGCTGTTGGGCTTTGACCGAGTAAATATTGGTTGCTATTTTGCAAGTCGTCCTCTAGCGTCTTTCTGGTTGAAAGGATATATTGGAAAATTCAGTAAAGGTTTGAATGCCATTTCTGGCGAAATTGAGAAGTCGCATAGAGCTCGTGAACTGATTTCATGTGTAGATGTGTTGCGATAAGTGTGTTTTTTGTTTTTTTGTTTTTTGTTTCTTGAATAACATGTCACAACTTGCATAAGATGTTCGAGCCTTTTATTGCAGGTAAGAGCAAATCAAAAGCAGTTGAGGGTTTCATGGGAAGTAGATCCGGATATTCCAGCGCATCTGATCGGCGATGCAGGCAGATTACAGCAATGTCTCATCAATTTAGGTATCATTTTTGACTAGAGCCTTCACGTTTCACAGTACACCTCCAGTTTGCCTGCATCCTATTTCTGATCTGAGCGCCGCAACAGTGTGTCGTGATGCTCATAAATTCTCTTTGTTGGTGAAATAATATCTAGTTTAGTTTCTGGCTACTTTCCTTCTGAATATTTATTGCGAAAGAGCAATCAATCAGTTTCAGTATGTGACGCGTTATTGTGTCTATGATCGATTTCATGCTGAGCCTTTTCTAACTCACACCCATATTTTCCATGGCAGTTGGCAATGCAATCAAGTTCACTCAAGAAGGATCCGTCTCGCTTACAGCAAAAATCTACACTGGACCTCCTCTTGAGAGAGCCACAAGTGCTAATCTCAAAAAGAAAAATAGTATGAGCAGAACATCTACTCCTGAGGAGCTCTCAACGAACGACGGTCACCATATTGTGGATGTTGGTGAAATTTCTGTGGTTGGAAGAGATCGTTCCGCGTTTAGTGGTCAAATAACTGGTGGCAAGGAAGGAAAGCTAGACATTTGGAGAGACCGTTCTGCATTTAGTGGTCCATTATTGCAAGGTGGTAAGGAAAGGAAGCTGGAGACTGCGAGAGGCTCTGCATTTAGTGGCCAGTTATCAGGTGGGAAGATGGAGATTATAAGAGGTGTTGGATTGAACGGTCAATTATCAGACGCAAAAGAAGGGAAGCTGGAAAAGCTTGCTTCACAGACAGAGACTAAGGTAGATAGAGACAATAAGGTGACTTTGTTGTTCTCAGTTCAGGACACAGGCATTGGAATAAGCAAGGAGAAACAAAAGGAAGTGTTCAAAGCTTTCTCCCAAGCTGACAGCTCAACCACTCGGCTGTATGGAGGAACAGGCCTGGGTCTGAGCATTGTAGAGCGGTAAGTGGGTTATTTCCAAGTTGTAGACCCGTAATTATTTTGTGACCTTAAATACCATCCATTTTAGGGTACTTAAATATATTTGTTTTTATCGATGCAACTTTCTTGACAGAAAGTTGCTCATCAATCTTCATGTCACCTTCGAGTACCCCCTCGTAATGCGGCAAGGGCTTATCTGCGATGTCATGTTTTTAAAGTATTAATCTACTCCAGTTTTCTTAAATATTGTCCGTCTTAATGTTATCGTTGAAACATCAGGCTAGTGCAAATGATGGGTGGCCGTATATGGCTTGAAAGCGAGCCAGGGAAAGGGAGCACGTTCTACTTTATTGCGCAGTTGGAATCCGTTCCAAGTCAAAGCACGAATTGTACAAGTGATGACAAAGTGAAGGGATTAAAGCGCTTCAATACAATTCACAGCTATGACGAGGGAAAACGTGAATCTAAATCAGTATCGGAATCGAATCAAGAAATTCTGCAAAATCAAAAACCTCAGGATCTAGAGTGTCAAAATTCACCATCTGGTAGTTCCACTGCTTCCAACATACCGAATGGAATTTCTCCAACGAAAGCAAATGGTGTTACTTTCAAACAGATGAATGGAACTCCTTCTAAACTCAGGTTATTGGAGCTTCTAATTGCTTTTTATTGTTGATTGTTTTCTTCTTGGACGCGTTGTTATGCGTTTTGAGTCTCAATGAACAATGAAATGCTGAAAGGCCAAAAATGGTGTTTGCCCTGCACATTTCTGTACTCGTTCAGTTTTGACATCATTTACTGATTTTTCAGGCAGGGCAGATGCAACAGCGTAGCTGCAGGTGGTTTGCAGTCGATGTCAATGCAGAACGACATACCTCTACCCACCAAATCCTCAAGTTTTCCGAAGAAATTCACCTTTAATTCAAATGAGGCAGATTCTGATTCTGAAGTCTCACTTCAAGGCATGAAGATCTTGCTCGCAGAAGATAACCTCGTGAACCAGAAGGTTGCATGTCAGCAGCTCAAGAAGTTTGGAACACAGGTAGACGTCGTGTGCGATGGTCAGCAATGCTTGGAAGCTTTAGAAGGGCGTCGAGACGATTACGATCTTATCCTGATGGATGTGCAGGTTTGCCCTCTTTTCTTTCCTCCCTCCTGTGCTCAAATTATGTTGAAGGTTTTTTCAGGAGTTAAGGTGTGGTCTATTTTTGCTTGCTCTTGATTTCTGGAATGAATGATTCTTTTATCACAGATGCCAGTACTTGATGGACTGCAAGCAACCAGAAAAATCAGAGAAAGCGAAAAGCAGCATAATTATGCCCACAAACCCATCATCGGCCTCACTGCTCACGCTATTCAAGGATACAAAGACAAGTGCTTAAGTGCAGGCATGGACGCGTATGCATGCAAGCCGTTTCAGGCTAGGGAATTGATCCAGGTTATACAAGGCGTCTGCAAGATGTGGTCTGTCAGGCTAAATTCAAACGCAGAGGAAGCCATCCCTATCGATGTAGTCGTTGAACAAGTGAATGACACATCTGGAGATCACACCTGAACATTTTCAAAGTAGAATGTTTTTTTTTTTTCCCTTTTCTGGTTGAGACATTGATTCTCATGTCTATTTTTAGAAGGTGTTATGTTTTCAATTTTGAAAACTCTAGGTATTTCAACTGGAAAAGTGCCAGCTGTAAAGAGTTTCTAAGGTCGTGGAGTAGATGACATCTAGACAATACGTGCATGGGTGTTACAAGTAAATTATTAGGCAACCATCGGAGGACCGCACAGAAGGATGGGACCAAAACTTCGACAGGTATGCTTGTTCTTTAGTGATGTTTTTTTCACCAGTCGCTTGTGTACAGTAAACAGAATGGTTTCCTCCCTTTCTTCTGGGGGCTACAGAGAAGTTTTGACCTTTCATTGAATTCGTTCGCATACTAATAATTTCCGTAGTTCAAGTTTAGGGTCTGTATGGTGAACTTCTCGATGGTTACCACAGACTATACCCCTAGTGCATATCCCAAGAAGTGGTAATCGTGTTATGCTAGTCACCAACGTTGCTAAATATCATAATGCTAATTGATCCCTTGTTTTGGTTCTCTGCTTCAGGTGGTTCCACAAAGTCGCAAAAATTGATATGTGACTACTTCTAACGATGGCAATTTCTCAATGACGTAAGGATGTTACGCGAAGAGAATCCTACCATGTAGATCATCTTACATGAATTTTTTTGGCCTCTTGTATATCAATGTGCACATGAATTCATATCTGCATTTATTAGTGCAGAATATTTTGTAGCTGCTGAATCTTACTGTGCAACAACGCTATTATCACATCTAAGCAAGCTTCGCGCAGCTCCATATTTCTAATCCATTTAACTCTCATTTGTCTCTCATCGATTGCTACTTCTTTTCATGAATGAGCTGTCCTTGTGACTGCGGCCTGCAATACTTCCCGCTTCATTCTCATCATCAAATTCCTGCAAGACTAACCACGAATTCATCGAATCCCTTACGTCAGACACGGTTTTCACACACTGCGAGTCTGTCCCCTTACACATAACCTATTCCTACAACTTCTGGAGCGTATTAGAAGTTTCTTCGAGCTACAAACCATGGAATATACCTCAACGTGTTATCTGATAAGAATATGCACGTTTCACGGTCACGGTCGCTGAAGAAACTTTCCAAGCAAGACCAACACCGTGATGGCTACGTTAAACGTCGGTGACTGCTAACCATTTCGTGAAACTGAAAGGTGGCGATAGGGAGACGCGTTATCGGCCACGTTGCTGTGTAAAGTTGGTGCTGAGTTCAAATATCTTTGGATGCCACTTGTTAGCTGCCACTCACCGCTACCAACCCTGAAATCGTTTGCATATATTCATGACGCTCTCGCATATGCAGTTAAAACTGGGTACTGAGGGCATAGCTAAAGGAAATCCAAAAGTTAGATTGTGATATTGGTTTGGAACTGAAAGAATGAGCGCCAATTTACGCTCGACGTCAAAGAGTTTAGAAAGTTTGCAGATTTGTCGAGTGCAGGATTCTTCAGAGTTCTGAGAAGGTTGAGAAGATGTTTCACAGGAAGCATGGTCAGGCAGTAGGAGGCCACGGCGCAGCAGGTTACAGCGCAGTACCTGCGGGAGGAGCGGCGAACTACCCCGCAGATCAGAGAGATGGCTATGGATATGAGGTGGGCAATGATGTGAACGTGAAGCAGACTTCTGGATTCGGATACGACAACGACGTGCGCGGCCATCACCATCACCATCATCAACACGGCGGAGGTGGCTATGTGCAGCACCAGCAAACCCCAGTGAGCTACGGACCGGACGGGCGTCCCATTGAGGCACATCCCAAGAAGAAGAGCAATCGGGCGGCGAATTGGTGCGCTGCTGCTTTCGTAGCGTGTTGGGCGTGCACATGGCCGTGCCATGGTCCGTGCTGCTGCGGCGTCTAGAATGAAACCGAAAGATTTCCCTGCTGATTGCTTTTCTTCTTCTTTTTAGATTCCAGCCCAAGGAAATGGTTTCTGGAGTTTTATCAGATGTGTCAGACAAGAATTTACGTCCTCGCCACTAATATTTTGGATGTCAGGGACTAGGGCAAAAGTTTAGATAATTTGGTGATTTATGACTCGGTGAAACCACGCAGTTATCCACCATTGTCACTGCAGAAATAGGGGTTTTCTGAATCTCGTGAACTGATTTGTGAAAATGGATCCGATTCAAGCTTTCGTTTACCGAAGGTGCAGAGAACAGTAACTCGCAATTCAAGATATGTCAGGTCATTACCTGCGTTTCTAGTTAAAACCACTTGAAGGTGCTTGAAAAACTATTGAAATGTTGGGCGTACGCATTTACTGTCTTTAGTTGAGTATGATCAGTGACTTGATTCTTCACTTCTCGCATTTCAATGCATTACTAAAGTTGCTTATGCAACACGAGTTTAATGCTTGCATACTGAATTTAGTTGCGAATGGAATTTGGTAGACATTCAACACGTGAACTAATAATAATCAGTGAAATTATCTAAACAACCGAACATTCACAAGTCTAGATTTGTCTGTTGAGTCTGCTCAGCTCGCAATTGAATTACATAAGCAAGATCATTCCTATTCTCCTGGCTCACACATATCTACACACATTTCAATTAACACACATGGAGTGCAGATTTCGTTCAAGTGCGTACAGGACCTACAATTGCAATCGAAACACCATATAGCTACTTTACACAAGGGCAGTGACTACACACCCAGAGACTGATTAATGTTGTGCTTGCGGCGATCCTAGGCAACTCGCCCACATAGACGACGACTTCTTCAGCTTAGCTTGGCTCATACCTTCTCTCTCCCCAGCACGGGAGGGCGTGCTCATGACTCGGAACAATCGTCTTATGAATGAAGGGCTACTAGTGGTAGTACCATTAGGCGTAATGGGATCAACATCAGCGGTACATTTCGAGGCGTCCTCCAGAAGTAGGCTCCGTAACGGCGTATGAAGCTTACCTTTGACGTTCCCATTTGGCTCGTGTGGGCTGTCATCCTCCCCTGATTCATTTGCAGTGCTCACCACACCGTGACCATTATGGATTGGTCCTGCAGCTGGTTGGATCTGATCGTCGGAAGAGGTAGGCTCACCAGGAGGAGAGGGGGAGCTGGACGCAGCGGATTGAGCGGCGTCCTCGTTTCGAATCGGGGTTCCTCGTCCTCCACTTGAATATGCTTCAGCTTGTTCTTCCCAGAGGCGATCCTGTTGAGAGCCTGAAAACGGGAGAAGAGGATACAGTTTAGCCTCCTGGCTATGTATTTCTTCCTCTTCATGAGTAGCTTGTGATGTACTCGCAGCATCTTGCATGAGTTCCGAAGTTGTACTCGTATTCTCCACAAGTAAGAGTGTCTCAGGTTTAGAAGAAGTTTCATGGAGGCAATCAGAGTGATAACCGCCATTTTCCTTCAAATGTTCGCCATTTGTGATGATCTCAGGGGTAGCGCTATCCTCTATCTTACCAGTTTTGCTACATTTTTGTTCATCAGAATCTTCGTCTTTATCATTTGTCCCCACAACCGAGGAATTTTCAGCCATGCCTGCATCCTCAGTTCGATTTTCAAGTACACTTTCATGAGGTGCCGAAGCTTCGCAGTCAAGCTTTGGGAAATTCTCAAAATCCTCCTCCACATCCTTTGTGCAATTATGTATTGCGCCATTAGGAATGACAACCGGAACAGTGTTGTCCCCGTTGGCACTTGAGTTGTTTACTACCATCCCCTCATCCTCGTGAATGATTTCTTCCTTAGAATTTCCATGCAAGCTCTCTCCATCCTCGTCAATTTTCTGAATTGGCTTCTCCTTCGTCTCGTCAACAGGTAGAATCGCTGGGTTTGCAGTGTCCAACTGCGAGCTCCCAATTTCTCTGTCCACCATTGTCTCTACCTTATCAACATTTATAAGAGAGGCGTTTGCAGTGTCTATCTGCGAACATCTCATTGCACTGTCCACCATTGTGTCCTCCGCGTTGTCAACATGTAAAATCGCTGCCTTTGTAGTGTCCACCTGCGAACACTCAATTGCGTTGTCCACCCTCGTCTCTTCCGCTTCAGCAACATTTAGATGCATTGCGTTTGCAGTGTCCACCTGTGAATACTCAATTGTGTTGTCCATCCTTGTCTCTTCCGCCTCTTCAACATTTAGACGCACTGCGTTTGCAGTGTCCACCTGCGAACACTCAATTGCGCTGTCAACCATTGTCTCCGTCGCATCGAGCACGGAAATTTCCTCCAAATTTTCGTTTATGCACTCTCCTTTCCCGACATCCTTCAACGCTCCGTGTTCCTTCACAACGTCAAAATCCGAAGAAGCTGCGTGTTCAATGTTTGGTTCAGGAACAACAGATGACTGATCGATTGGGCTGTTCACCGTCGTCTCCTTTACCTCCAGCCTGCGTTCTTCCATTGTACTCTCATTGGAACTCTCGTCCTTTGTAGCCTTCTCGAAAGAAACTAGTTGTTTCTCCATCTTTTCGGCACTCACAAGTCCAGGGTAAGGGGTGTTTTCGCTACTCCTGTACACCACCGTGTCCTCATCCTCTAGCAAGAGCTCCCCTTCGACATCCTCGCTTAAGTTCTCCACTTCCTTTTCTGCTTGCGATGAAACATTCGTATCATTCTCAACTTCGGTGCACCTCAAATTGGTTGTGACTGGGGTACCTTGGACTGTAGCATCGAACGGGATCTGGGGGCTATACACCATCAAGTCTTCACCTTCAAGGGCGGGCTCTTCCAATTTTCCAGTTAAAATTCCTCTTTCCATTTCAGTTTGCCCGGAAAATTGTGACAGTACCTGAATCTCACCTTCTAGCCATTTTGAGTTATCGCCAGAAACAGTCAGCAACTTCTTGGGACTATCTAGGATTGTGTTCTCGTCCTCCAGCAAGTACACTTCCTCCAATATTTGATGCGAGTTACTTCCATCTTTGTCAAACATATCCAAGGAAAAATCTGAGAGTTTTTCCATCTCTTCAACACTTGTTGCATTGTTCAGACCTGCAGAATTAACCAAGGAGTTCGTGGTGCTGTCCACAAACGTTTTCTCATCTTTGAGTGGAAGATCCTTCTCCAGACTGTCATCTAAACCGTCCCTTTCTGCATCAGCTTTCCATGAAAAATTCGAGTGATTTATAGTGTCTGATGTGTGTTCAATTACGACATCAACCAGCTCCTCGGTACTGTTAATCACGAGGTCATCTTCATCGAGCAAGGCACTTTCCTTCAACTTCGAACTTTCGTTTAGGCTAACCTCGTCGTCTTCAGCCTTAACTTCGCATGGAGTATTTGAGTGATTCAGTACGTCGTCAGCCCTAAAACTTATAGTATTATGGGTATCAGCCTGGTAAGGAACTTCAACTGAGTTTTTGGAAATATGCACTACTGTCTCTTCATTCTCGAGCACTGCCTTTTTCTCAAGGCCACTCTTTGAGATATCCTCCTCCTTGTCAGCTGTCCTGGATAATGTGGACTGCTCCTCTCTATCATCAACAATTGTCCATTTTGAATTATGGCCGGATGCAACGAATGACTCCTCGAGGCTGTCAAAGACGATCTCATTTCCGAACGGATATTTCTCCTCTAGAGTTCTATATGAGCTTTGCTCTTCATTCTCTGCCTGCCAAGCAAATTCTGACTCTTCAACGCCAACTTCTACAATCGCTGCATTCGAGATGTCTGGGTCGGACACAACCGACAGCTTCAAGGGCACATCTTGTACACTGCTATTTTCTGCAAAAACTTTGGTGCGACAGTGTTAACCAATGCGTATCTGGACCCCATGCCCCAGCTTCATGCAGAAGTCTACGAAAAAGAAAAAGAAAGTAAAAAATCAAAAATATCAATTGGAATGGATATGTTCATATAACTCGTCTAGTGTAATGATTCTGTTGTCTGTAATCCTCTATCGTGTTGAGAAGAGGGATTATGAAGGCAAGTGAGATGCTACGACTGGTTTACCTGTGATGCTTTCCTCGTCTGTAATGGTACCATCATCTGAGGCAACATCTGAAAAAATTTCATCATAAGCAGCATCAAAGGGGGCCATCAAAACTTTCTCCGCTTCAGGATCGAGTTCTGTTTTCGAGTCACAGTCGTCAATAGAAGTAGATGTTCCAGCACTGAGATGGTTCTCCTGTAAGACTTGGCTATGTTTGTCTGTTGCGTTACTAACTGTAGAAGCAGTGATTGAAAAACTGCTGGTTGTCTCTTCAATTTTTTCCACATCAATCTTAGGAGGATCTTCGACGCTGCCATTTTCATCATCTTCAACTGAATCGCTTGCATTGACAATCATGGGTTCTGCTTGGCACAAGCCGCAACTTAGGTGAAGAAAAATTTAGATGGTAGATATTTCAGAAAATCCATCAAGAGTTGCTTATTTAAATCCATCTAATGATCTGAACAAAGGCAACCATTCCAGCTTGTTAATTCTTCCATTTTTATAGACACAAAAATCCAATAAAAAATGTGTCAAATATGTGAGCTTGCCACGATACCTTCACTGACGAGATCCCTTTCGTCTTCAATAATCGACTTCGACCCACCCTTCTCAGTTGCTGGCAGCAATTCTTCCAAAACTTGCTCTTCTCTGCTCATCTCTTCAAAATTAACAATCCTCACTCCATTCGAAGATTTGTCCTCCTCTACATTGCACTCAACATCAAGTGTATCTAACTCACCAACCTCACGGAGAGACTTGTTAGGCAATTCCTCAAGACACAGCAAAGTTGGTCCTGATGCAATACTGATTGCGTTGTGTCCAATCTCTGCCAACGACGCTATGTCAGTGAGAGTGGCCACAGCGCCATTTTCCGCTGCAACTGGACATGAGAGCGCAGTTGATTCTGCAAATTCATCTATCGAATTGCTCATGCTATCATCTTCAGATATATAGCCAGAAAACTCGTCCTGCTTAATTGCATCCAAGAGATCTACTTGCGGTACTTCCTGGCCGAGATTTCTTTGCAATTCATGATCAACAACTGAATTTTCAATCATTTCTTGCCTTTCAATAAGACTAGACGCATTTTCAACATGACCTACATCCTCTCTCGCTCCATTGTATGATTCCTCCTTTTTGGATAAACTGAGGACGGCATTGTCCTCCGTAGTAGACTCTTCCTCACTCATACAAGGTGGCAATAGAATTTTCAGAGCAGTTGATTCTAATGGATCAACCAACTTCATGACTCCACTATCACTTGCATTAATTTGGCTAGAAACGAGACTGTCCTGGGCACTGTTCACCCATACCAACTCGGAAGAAATTTCCAAGTCATGATCGTCAGAACCTTCAGCTTTTCCAGCTTCTTCAAAATCACCATTCGAAGAGCGATGGTTGCAAGTCTCAAGTAAGCCTTCCTCCAGAATCACTTCTTTAGAATGGTCAATTTGAGTTTCCAAGTCTACATCTCCAGCACCTGTAGTTTTTGAACTACCACCATAAACTTCTAACTCTTGCAGCATACACGGAATATCCATGCCTGGATTCAAATCTTCACCATTCTCAACCTTCAGGTTGGCATCTAGCTCAAAAGAAATTTCAATGTTCTCCAGAGGCGCATCTTGCATAGTGGAAGCAAAACGTGGATCCTGTTGGGGTATTTCAGATGTTACGCTGTCGACATCGAAGGATCCACCGTCATCTAAAGGTTTGTAGAAATGATCATCGAGGGGACGTTTACTAATCGCAATCAATGATGGTGCGGAATAAAAGTCCTGAAGGGTTGCCACTTGGTCGATGGAACCCTCAACAACTCTAGCATTGGAATCGCCCAAACTCGGCTTGGCCCCAACTGTGACGGGTGAGGACAAAGCAGAAATGGCTGAGGTAGGTTCTTCTCGCACCGAGGTTTCTTCCTGTCTAGTCTCTACTACATGGACATATTCTGTACTCTTCGGTAATGTGGTCACCATTTCGGGACCGGCGTCAGATTCGCTTGAATTAGTTCTAAGACTTGTCTCATTGAGGTAATGCGAAAGAACAGGATTGAGTGGCTTTTGGTGCTGAATATACTCTGGTAACTGGGACGAGCTCGAGTTTAAACTCAAACTGTTACCCATTACAGTTGATTTTCTCATGTCTTCCACTCCTTCTACGAGATTAACCACTTCAGCAGATTCCAAGGGCGAAGCTTCTTCCTGCCCGACACTAACTATGTCGGACTGATAGTTTTCCAAATCGGGTAATGACACTAAGGAGTCTGGATATGATGAGCTAGCTAGTGATTCGGATTCTCTGAGGGATCCTCTTTCCTTCAAAACGTCCATTATTTCCTCTTTGCTAACACACAAGTGTGGACTTGGTTGACCAGAAGGCTCTGATTCGATAGAATCCCCTGCGGTCAACTTCAGATTATCAACAATAGGGAAGATGGACACAGGCATCTCAATGGGAGTTGAAGATTTCTCTGTCTCGACTAGCCCCTCGTTCATAAGTTGAGTTTGACTCATATTATTTAGCTGTAGATCTTCTGCATCATTTTGACCTGCTTCTGTTTTAGAGGATTCGTCCGTAACAGTCTGAGCCCAGAACTCTTTCAAGGTCTTCGTATCTTGATCCAGATCGGTCGGTGTTGATGTTCCATATACCTGAACATCAAGGGATTCCTCTGCAACTAAGGTTGACTCTGACAAATAGGAGAGATCTGGAAGAATTTGATCTTCTACATGTGAGGCAAGATCTCGAGAGTCAGTCATACCGTTCGAAGTAGTTCCAGAAGTATCCTTCTTTGCATCTACAGTGGCTGGTGTATTGGTAGGAATTTTAAAAGGATTAGGAACACAGACATCATCCACCTCAGACTTGGATTCTTCTAGGGGCTCTGCAACATCATCAAAGCTCTGCTTCAGATTGAGTTGCGCATCTTCAATGATTTCTTCCAAGTACTCGTCATCACTTGATTCAATATCATACATACTTGGAGTGCTACAAATGGTTGATACTTCGTCCTTTTCTAACTTGTCCTGTTGACTAGCAGGCCTGGAATCAGACGCACTCATGTTTATGGGAGTAGGAGACTCATTCAATTGATAAATTTCTTCATCTTCCAAGGACTTGAGCGCCATCTGGCAATCTTCGGATGTGAAATCTTCAGTAATCTGGTGTAAAACAGGTTGCTCAGGGCATCCTTCACCAGCCGATAACAAAATGTTTAAATTACCCTCTCCTGCCACTGCTGAAACAGTGGGAAGGTTGTCGGTCACCTGAACATTATTAAAGGGTGCTTCATGAGCAACACACTCGGAGCCGAACGAATCCTCATTGTCGCTTGTAGAACTTGAAATGTCCTCAAGATCAGCCATGAATTTGTAGGTCATTATTTCGCTCTCATGAGTAAGCAACGTCATAGGCACGTCCACATATTCTTCGACAGGCGGTGGAACCGAAGCTTGCTCCAACTCATGCTCATGTGCAAAGACATCTATCTGTGGACGAAGCTCGGCTTCAAATGGGTCTTTTACTTGGTCTTCATCCATGTGAAGGGTACTGGACTCGGAGTCCCCTCGTGGCTTATCAATCCTTCCGGAATACTCTCTGGGACAATGATCCTCAATGAGAGGATCGCTAACCAGGGTAATAATAGGACTTCCCGCAGATGAAGCTGAAATGCCTGGGGGCATCTCAGCAGTAATATCAATTTGAATTGCAGGAAGGCTTTCGTCAGAGGGCTTCTGATTACTTACTGCTTCTCTCAAGAATGGCTCACTCAGGACCTCTGGAGGATCATTCAAGAGGCTTGAACCCGAGTCATCAGGCTCGGGCAAGTGTGACAGGGAAGAAAAGGTACAAGGCAGGTCCTCTAAGAGCCAAGATGTATGCAACTCATTATCGTTGTCAAAATCTGGTTCACCGCCTGGATGGTCCAAGGAGTTAATGTCTTCGTCCCCAACGTTCCCATCTAGTAGTCTTGAACCACTATCTTCATTAGCCTCGCTATGCAGCAATGGAGCTGGTACCAATTGCGAAGTGTCAGAAATGTTCTCGGGTTTTGCCGCATTTTGACATTCATTTTCGGAGTAAAATGGCACTTTGACAGATTGCACCTCTGGCTTTGACAATTCCTCTTTGCGAACAGCTTTTTCAGCTTGTTTTCTTACTCGACCTGTGCGTCCATAAATTAATTGAGAGAGGTTACTGGATTGTAACAACAGTGCTAAATCAATCTTGCTGCCATTTCTCAAACAGTTTGTCTAGTGGCTATTTCAAAGAACATCCAAGACTAGATTAGACTCACCAGGCTGTGTTGAAGGAATATCTTGAAGATTTCTTTTCACTTTCGACCCTTTTGAGGATGTCAAGTCAGACTTTGGTTTTGAAGAGGGGCTTGGAGTGGATTTTCTCATCTTTCCATCTAGTGAAGATCTAAGAAAGGATTTTTCAGATTTGGCTACCTCACCTGGTGTGGTACCAGGTGAATCACCGGCTACTTGATCAGCATTCGAATTTGCTCTCCCCTTTGTGGATGCTGAATCAGACCTATGTTTCAAGGATGGGCGTGCAGGGGAAGACTTCTTTATTTTGCCATCCAGTGACCCCCTAGGCGAGGATTTCTTAGATGTCACTTCCTCAGCAACAAGGTCACTCCCCCCATTAGCCCCCAACTCACTATTTGAATTTGAGATTCCACTTATATTTACTCCTTCTGATGCTAACCCAGACCCCCGAGGACTGATCATCTCTTTCTTACTTGCATCACTGAACTTCCTTGGAGATAGAACGGACGCTGACATTGCACTCCCTACAAGCTTCTCTTTTCCCGGTGAAGTCGTAATCGTTTTTTTCACGAGTGAATTCGTCTGTGTAGCAGACTTCCTGATGCCACCTGAAAATAATCACGGATATGTTACTATTCAACAAATTTACTAGATTACAAGTGAGTTTCAGCACACTTTCACATGACTTTCAGGCGGGTCCTAGAAAATTGAAACTGATACAGAAACATTTGCGAATTGAATCTTCTACGACGTAACAATAGAGTATGAAATTTACATTCGAAGTTGAACACATACCTCCTTTTGCGAGAAACGCGTGTTTTTTTTCTTCCACTGATGAGGCGGTGGGGCTAAAGTCAAGACCTCTAGCTATGTCGTCTGCTCCACCAATTGAAGACCTCCGCTTCTTCTTCGCAGCAGGTGAGATAGATTTTTCTGTAGGAACACCAGCTGGAGTCCGGGGAGAAGAAGTTGTGGTCACGGAAGACTTCCCTAACCCGTTGCTTTTGGCCGGGGATTGTACATCTTGGTCTCCTATCTCCAAAGAGATGCAGCTTGATGTCACTGATGGAGATCGCCGGTGTGGAACAGCCATCATTGTGGAGGTTTCCTTCTTCAGTAACTTGGTGGCGCCAGGAGAAGGACTCCCCATCTTTATGTGTCACTTAGCACACTTTCGTGTCGAATAAATACTTACACCCTGTGTGGCCTGCAAAAGGAGATACTCGAAGGTACTAACATTGGTGGAGAGAGTTTATAACGACAGATCTATTTCGGGACATATCTGTTTCTCAAGATCAGGAGTCTGTATCAACACAAAGGCGACCATTCTCGCATGTGGAGAAAACTAAGTCTGCAGTAGTAACTCTTGTGCTGCAGCATTAGGATATTTTGATGTTCTTGCCTGCGAACCACAAAAGAAGAAAAGTAAATATTATCATCAAAGAAGAGCTTCAGCCAATGTCTCTACGGGCCACATCTATCCTACATTGCTCTCAAAAAACGTGAAAAATTAACAGGTATTCAAGTGTTAGTAATTTCTAGCGTCCAGCATAGTACATGAGCGTGCGTTGGGAGAGAGTGCAGCCGTTTCACCAGTCGTGTATCAAAAGATATAGTGAAACTTGAAACTGTGGACATGGACAAGAAAAGGAGCTAACCACAATGCCGATGCTTGAAAACATCAAGTTTGTCCCTACTGCGTTCAGGCGGCTTTCAGTCTAGATTTGCATGTGAGAGAAAAACTCTTCCATCTTTTTTTCCTGTCTGAGGGAAAAAACTAGGCTTCCTACACACGGGAAAACCAGGAGGCTAGCACATCTTTTTTTTTTTCTTTTTTTTCTTTTTTAGTGACATAACCTTCAAGCCTTCAGCAGGAGTGCATCAACTCAGTTACCATTCTGGCTACAGCAGCTCGGCCTCGAAGTGAGACAGGACTGGTATCAAGACCAACGAGGAGACAAGGAACTATGGTTGAGATGAGGATCTAACGATGCCGAATAAAAGTTAGATAAAAATAAGCTGCAAACACGTACATTTGCACAAGGGGAAAACCATACGAGGAACTCAATGTCGCCTCTCAAAGCATAAACTATCTTACCTGTGCAGTGCTACCACCATACACTGCAAGAAAATACGAAATATCTTCAAGAAAATGCTCGCCGACCTCAAAACCCAACCCTGTTCGAAAGCCATACATGACGAGAAAAAACTGAGCCTCGGCTTCTTGCAAGAAGGAGATTTCGAAGGAAATCAACAATAGGATCAATCCCTAGCGCTCTAACACACCACAACCTCCTGCATGCAACAGAGTCAAGATTGATCTCAACCGAAAAATACAATACGCTTGTGCAGCACAGTTTGGGACTTCAGTTGGAGCAAGGCCACCATCATGAGACGATCGACCCAATTGATGAATGGTCACCGCTCAGCAACATTAACCACAGCGATCATGATAGTTGCCACACCTCTGAGAAGGAAATGACAGACCATATTGAACGCCACTCTACTCTACTCGACAACTTTCAACAGAGATTTGAAAGCATGAGAAACCAACCACGTGGAAACATACAGCAGGCTCTAAGGAATGCGAACGCGCCATACCCACAGCGAGCTCTCCCGCATGCTACAAGGCTGGAAGTGATCTAGCGATACGGCGCTCAGCTCACAACCTGGGGGCGCAGGCAGTGTAACCATCCACTATGCCCTCCACCATGGCCACACTTACAATGATCTTCTGCCGTGGGCCATGCACCCAACAATGTGGCGATGGTACAAAAACTGACCGACTAGCTATAAATGCCAAGCGTGAGCTTCAGAGTTCCTCAGCAAAGAAGGGGGGAAAGAGAGAAGAAGAAAAAAGGAAGAAAATTAAGAAAGTAAAAAACTACAGGATCCTCTTCCTCATCATAGATCTATGGCCAGTAACCTCAACAGTCAGTCTCTCTCTTTCTCTCTCTCCCAAAGGTTGCAGCAGCAGAAGCAGCAACAGCTCTGAGCAGGCGATGAGCCCCAGTTCCAGCTTCCCTCAAGTCTGCAAAACCGGTGGCAGCCTCCAGAGCACTACTACTACTGCTACTGCGACAGACAGCCAGCCAGCATTGTCAGATGGACCAGGACTACTGCATTCCCTTCCCCACACTTCTCCAGTCTTGCATTGCAGCAAAGCAAGCCCCCCCTTTTGTTGCTGTTGTTGTTTCTGTGTCCCTTGCTACATCATCTTCCTTCCTTGCTTGCTTGCTTGCTTCTTTCTCTCTCTGCTGCTTTTCCTTGGGCCCCCTCTTTTTGTGTTCTTGTGCCACTAGTTGCATAGCAACTCATTCCAGTACACTGCTTGCTTGTCTGGGTCTTCATATCTCTCCTCTTCTCCTCTCTACATGTCCCATTCCATTCCAACTTTACAGCATTTGGCCTTAATTGCAACTGAACATGTGTGTTAAAATCCACTCTCCCACTGGATAGTTTGTTGACAACTTTTTACCAACACAGTTTGATTGTTACATATTTAAGCTCTGCAGCCTCTGGAGAGCTTGTTGCAAAAGTTGGAACGGTCCCTTATTTTAAGAATTAAAAACCACTATTAATGTTGTCCAGGCATTAGAGTATGCTTGATCTATCAACATGATAGCTACTTTAAGTAAACCAAGATCCAGTGGGCTATTTTCCAAGCTTGTGACAACTTGATACATGCTGTCAAATTCTCAAACTTATTGTGCTGGGACCAGTCACCAGCAGCAATAAGATTTGGCTAAAACACAAAACTCAACTATCCACAAAGCTGCCCCTTAGAGAAACCCACATCATTGATTGATTGACTGAGAGAAGGTGAATTGTGGGTCCAACCCAACAACGATCAGGCTCACACTTTAATCTTTTTTGCTTCACAAACTACACTTTTAACCTATACACACTCTGCGCCATAGTTTAAACCATAGTATCAAATAAGCACATTGCTGAAGGGAAGAACAAGAGAGAGAAATCAAAGTTTGCAGAAAAGCTTCAGTAATGCATTTGTTGTGCTTGTACACACATAGTGAGGCAAGCATCCATCAATAAATGAATTATTGAGTAAGTGAATGAATGTAACCTTGTTCATAATATGTGAGAGATGTGCAACATCAGAAGTACATCACATTAAATACTAACTTACAGAGGTTAATCATGAGCTTCCCAATCCACAAATACTTTAATTCTTTGGTACATCACACCAATTTAAGCCACCAATTCCATACTTACACAAAAATTATATCATTGGGTTTCTCATCATCATTTATCTCAGTGGACAATGATATTGAACTTCTACAATTAACTTCAAGTTTTCTTCTTAAGTACTAAAACACCAAGTTGACTTTTTCCTTACTTTCACTCAATCAGGATTAGCCATTAGGAGGAAAGAAAAAAAAAAAAAAAAAAAAAAAAAAAAAAAACTACCAAACTGGATTAGGAAGGGCTTTGAATGGAACTATGGTTTGTGGACCTAATCAATTTGAGAGCCTTGCCCCATATGAGAGTTGTAGCAGCTGTTATCCTAGCCTTCACACAGCCAGTATGCAACAAGTCAGGTTGCCACACCTTTGTAAAACATTGAATTATTTTAGAATATATATATATAAGTCAAAAACCCAGTGTGAGACAACCTGGAACCTTCCCATTAAGAGAAGCATTATTTGTTGTACTGAGGATTAAGTCCTTGACCATCAGAAAGGGGGTGGAGGACTTGCAAGATTAATACAAAATGAGTGCACACACATAAACTTCAGCTGAAGAATGAAGTGTGTCCTTGTGCAAGGGGATGGTAATTAGTTAAACCATCATTTTTAGGGTGCATTCATAGCACATGTGGTGTGATGCTGAAGAGCCCCATCCACACAGAGATATTGGTGACCCTTGCCATTGTTCCAATACATATGCATATATAATGGAATGGGAAAAGACACCACATATTCTCCTCTTTCTTAATGCTGGTTGCCAGTCCTTGGATAACACACCTTTCAATGCCTCCTCTTTATTGCACCTCCTGTTGGAGATGGAAACCCTAAAAAATTGATGATGGATTGCATCAAGTACACTGTACCATTTTCATTATAGAATGTGGTTTTTCTGATGCTGTGGGTTTGGTTGCAGTTGGAGTTATTTGATTATTCTTTGTGTAGTAGACATTTGTCTCTATCCTTACAGTCTGTAATATTAAATTCATTAGGATTACTAAATAAACAAATAGTATCTTTTTTCTTTTTTGATAGAACATTTAAACAGTAAAAAAACTGTATCAAGTTTTAGTTTTCTCTTTGAAGTACAAAGAGATGTCTTTTACAGATTCATACACTTGTGTGTATGTGAATATGTAGAAATATATATGTACATGCTCCATATATGATATCATACTCATCGAACATTTTTTAAAGATAAATTATTGATGTTTAAATACTCAAGTGTTATATCCATTTCTTTTCAAGTTTTTAGAAGTTTGATTCCTTGCTGCACCTAACAATATTTTACAACAAAATAAAAGAAAGTAAGAAAGGGGAAAAAATAAAAATGCATAAAAGTCATCTGAAAAGAAAAGAAAACCAATGAGATAGATGTTTTTATGAGTGCTTCATCATACATGGAATCATCTATTCATACATTGTCATGTCCTATCAGCATCTCAATCCTATAAGTATTATCCATAATAACAATGAATAATTGTGCTGGGCTAACAAACTGAAAGGTCTTATTAATGGTCCATGAAGATGGAAAGCACCAAGTATGCCTACTTGGACAGGCATGTTCAAAGGTGATGGAAAACCCATCAGCAAAACCATCCATTGCCAGACCTGGCATCACTACATGTGTTACAAACATTCAGTGTGAGGTTATTTTAATTTGATGTGAAATCATGACTAAATCAACATTTGAAAACAAATTTAATTTAATTCAACAAATCATAAAAAAGTATCAACATTGTAATGAAGAAGATAAGGTGACTTAGATTGGTCAGTAAATTTAGTCCAACTTAGATTTATTGTCTACCTTTTTTCTAATTTACCAGTGTAGTCATTGAAATTAATAAAATTGAGTATGCCTTCAGCAAAGATCTCATTGTGAGATTTGTATTTGTATTTGTATTTATTTTAACGACTTACTCATATGAGATCCAATGTCAGAATATTTCAATTGTCAGAATATTTACTTCTAGATATACCTTGCATCTATGTTGAAAAACATTGAAAAATAAGTTTTAAGTCATTGAATATTTAAATATTAAAGTTAATGTGTTCTACTGGGTGCAATGGGTAAAACAAATAGGTATTACAAACATGCGAATGCACACAAATGATCCTTTTTTTATTTTACAGAGGGGTTTTGATTTCTTGAAATCAAAAAACAAATAAATTAAATAATTAATGTTAAAGGTATTAAAAGTTTTATATATATATATATATATATATATTATATTTCATGAAAAGAATATATTTAGCAATTCCAAAAAAATAAAACAAACTATATATTTCCAAAAGTATGCTCTTAAAGTGTGTGTGTGTGTGTGTGTGTGTGTGTGTGTATATATATATATATATATATATATTTACAAACAAACACGAAATTTAGGATTTTTTTTTAATGATTTTCTTAATTTTTAGCATAGTATTCATACAATCTGGATCAGCGCAAGAACACCCATATTTAAAATCTAGAGAGTTAAAATTGGATTAACTACACTTATATTGAGAGTTGTATTAGAAATTGCAGCATTAATTCTTCAAAGAAAATTGGATAAGCAGAGGGTATAGGCGTAAACATTTTATAACTGAATTTAACTAATTCTAAATTCTTAGACTAGTTCTATCTGCATTAAAGACTATAAAATAAAATGAAAATTAAACTTTAATAATCACACATCAATTAATTTGACTTCAAAATTAAATTTGAGCCATTAATAACCACCAAAAAAAATAAAAAAATAGATACAATTTTAATATTTTTCACTTAGATTAAAATATTAAAAAACGTTATTATTTAATTTTTTCACTATTTCAAAAAGCCAAGCTTAGTCATATTTTGCAATTCATAAATCTTCAGTTTATTAACTAAATTTTATTAGAACAAATTTGACACTAATGTAATTGAAAGATGACAAAAATATAATAATGTTATGTTTTTAATTAATATGAAATTTTACTGTCTTAAACTTAGTAATAAATTTACAAGGGCTTACATGTTTTGTGTATCAAAAATTTAATGGCGTAGTATAATTCAAGATAGGATAAAATTGAAAAATAATCACAAAATACGTTGTATTTTAGCTTTATCGGAAATTCTAAGATTAATAAAAACTGATATATAATATTTTACCTGTGTAGTAACAGAAATATTTCTACTGAATTTTACAAACATCTCAAGTCTAAAAGGTTTAAAATCCTTAAAGACGTTTTCTATTTTGAAATAAAGTTTGTCTTGTCCAAATATGGCAGGGGAATCTTAATTCTAAACCTATTAAAATTAATAATTTTAAGTAGAAATAAAAACATCTTACATTTGAAAAACTTAATTAATTTTTTTTCTTCAAAAAACTTATAATACTTAAAGATATTTCTTAGAAATGAAATTCAGTAAAAATAATATGAAAAATGAAATATTACTAAAATATTAGTTAATCTAAATAAAATGAATAAAGGCTAAGCAAATTAATAGAAAATTTGATGTTATTTTCTTAAATTCAAAAATATATGTACTTAAAACCATGTACATAGCTTGGATTTATTTTATACTAACTTAGAAGAAAACAAATCCTAAAAAAATATTTATTTTTAATTTTTCAATTTTATAACAAAAACATAATGACTCTATTTATAATCAAGAGAAAATATAATATTTAAAATAAAATATAGGTAAATTCAATTTAAATTTTAAAATAAATATGTATCAATACAAATGTTTTAACATGAATATAATGTGTCAATGTTAAATATTTGTGTAGTTTTTTTCATCTAGATATGTCAACATTCTTGTGTTGGTTTTATTAAATTTATCATAGAAAGATTAGTATTGCTTTACACCTACTGTATTCAATAATATATAATAATAAAAATAAAAATACTCAAATTTCATCTTTTACTTTTGAGAAAACATATATAATTTATAGTAACCAATTAGTAAGTCACACTTGTTTTAAATTAGTAATAAATTTGAATAATTTAAA